CCCTTCTTCTGCCCTTTCGCTTAGAGGTGGAGCATAAGATCAGAGGGTTATTTTTAGCCAATCCTAGTTATGATTAGGTAACTAGTATCCTATCGGTCTCTCTCACAACATCCTACCTATGTAAATCATGCTAAGTCAATAAAAGAGCTTTCAGGGCGTTGCCCGTAGGCTCCGCTGGCTCGGATACCTGTGGTCGGCTCCTTTGTTTTTTCTCTAAGGCAATTAGCCTTCCTTTGTTCCGTGATCACCCACACGCGTCCTTCTGATTTTTGTTTTGGTCTCTCCTGAAGCAAGACCCAGAGCTGGCCAGGGCCTTTGAAGAGCCTCCTGCCCGGGAAGAGGAGGATGCCGAGGAGGGTCATGAGGATGAGGATGGCGACGGTGTGGCAGGTATTGTCTTCTGACTGCTGGCCTATCATTGGTGGGGGGGTTGATTTGAACAGCTGTTCTCAATCTCTCTTTTTTTGGTCACAGCTAGAGATGGGCACGAACCGGTTCGTCCCAGTTTGTAAAAGTAGCAACACAGCTGTTGCTGCTGCTCCTCCCTTCCCCATTTCCTCTGGCTCAATCAGCCACTCACCGAGCTGAGTGGGCTTCCTTTCCCCGCCTTTCAGCTAATCTCCCAGTCACAAGCAGGAGCACCGACATCTGAATGGGAAATCAGCCTGAGCTGCTGCCGGGGATCCACTGGGGGATCAGTGGAGGAGATGCAGAAAGCTATCGTGCTGGGCCTGGTGAGGGGCTGAGCGAGCAGGAAGGGGGAGGGGAGCAGCAGAACCTCTGCTGCCACCTTTGTGGACTGCGACGAACCAGGACAAACCGGTTCGTGCCCATCTCTAGCCACAGTCATAAAAACAATGTGAAAGAAGTATAGGCCTGATTAGGATTCTCTGTGTCACGTGGTACAGGTGTGTGTGTGAAGTATGGCCACAGTCATAAAAACAATGTGAAAGAAGTATAGGCCTGATTAGGATTCTCTGTGTCACGTGGTACAGGTGTGTGTGTGAAGTATGGATTCCAGTCTGTGGCCCCATTCAAATGTGGCAGGACCCTGAAGGTGGGCACGCGCCCCTCCGTTTGAGAATGGCTGGCTTAGAGGAACCTGTAGGTGTCGGGCAGCCGGCCGTTAGAAGGCCTTCCGTTGTATCCTCATCAAAAGTGCCTGTTTGAGGGTGGTGGGACCAAGAGAAGCCCCCCCCCAAAGCTGGAAGAGCATTTGCTGGAAATGGGTCCCGCCTCCCTCACGACAGCAGCCTTAGCCCCTGCATCCAGCTGTTCCACCACCGTCTATGTGTGGGGAGAGTGTAGAGCAGGGGTCCCCAACCCCTGGTCCGGTCGCCGTCCGTGGCCTTGCCAAGACTGGGCCGCAGAGACAAGTCTCCTGCCCCCTTGCACGCGCAGATGCATGCACGCACGCCTCTCCTAGGTACGCCCGCACGGCCCCTCCCACGCCCACATGCTAAACCAGCCTTTGGAGGCAAAAAGGTTGGGGACCACCGGACTGTAGAGGATGCATTTCTTACATTTGTGTCTCCTCTGCTTTTTCTCAAGGTGGCCTGCAGGCCAGTGCTCTTTCCCCATTTGGTCCCCCAAACAACCACCCTGTAAAGTAGGCCAGACTTAAGAGGGCAAGCGGCATCAGGCCTGTTTGTGGCAGAGTGAGGCCTTGCATGGTGGTGCCTAAACCCTTAGTCTGATACTCCAGCCATGCCAGCACTCAGTGGCTCTCTGGCGTGGCTTCTCCTCCTGTCTCTGCTGGAATTAGAAGCTTCTGTCTTCTTCCCACAGATGACTTTCTGGAGCAGGAAGACCTTCCCCCACTAGAAGCCCCCGACTCAGTGGCAGGTAAGAGACAGAGATCTTAGAAAGGCAGAGCTGGAAGGGGCCCTCTGGATCATCATGGAGTCCAGTCCTGGTCAAGGAGGCCCAGTGGGTGGGTGTGGAATCAAACCCCCAACCTCTGGCTCCGCAGCCAGAGACCGAAGCCCCTGAGCTATTCAGCGGCTGGATGGACAGTCTGAGAGGGAGTCCTAGGCCAGAAGCCAGAGTATTTGTCCCATCGCCAACTAGGCAGGGTATGCCACGGAGAGCTGGCAGGTCAGGACACGGGGATGGGGGTGGGGTTATGTATCAGGTGGAAGCACGCCAGCGCCTTGGGAAACCATGGCGTGCACTTCGTTTTGGCTTGGTTCGTGCAGCCCAATATGCTGCCTGATCTAAAACGACAGTTTATAGAAACAAAACCAAAGAAACAGCAAGGTTCTGCTTTAAGGGGCAGCTCCCTGGGGATCAGGAAGAGTGGCGGTGAAGAAATGCAGGCGGAGACCTCTTACACACCGGGCTGCACAGCCAGTGAGGTCTTCAACAGCTTGCGCGCCACAGGGAGCAGACAGACGGCTATCCGAAGCCACGGACGAACAATGACTTCAGGTCTTGACTCGTAAACTGCCGTCCAAGGATAGTTCTTGGGTTGGGCGTGAGGAGCTGTTCCTTGGCAAGACCAGGATCGAGGCTGGTGCCCCATGGAAAAGGAGGTCAGCCCTCCCTGTCGGAGGAGGGAGCCCTGGTTTACGAGGCCTGGGACGTTCCATTCAAGCTAAACCAACTCGAGGCTCTCCAGAATTGGAGAAAGGGTCCGTTTTTGCTCTAGAATTTGTGGCTACTTTTTGTCGTCAGGTCATCCGCGTGCAGCAGTTTCCAGATCCTGTGCTGGGCTACTAACTTCTACGTTCCTTTGCAGACCCTGGTGACCTCCCCTCTTCCCTCAGCTATGAGGAGCTGGTGCGGAAGAACGTGGTACGTATCCTGCTCCTGAGAGGCGGGAGCACAAAATGGGATGGTTGGCCTGGCCTGGCTAGGCTCACGCTCATGGGCTCATGCTTTGAGGGCAGGCGTTTGTTTTTGGGTTTTTTTAATCATTTATTTTATTGTATTCGCGGTGTGTGGGGGGAATCCTCCCCTGCCTTTGTTACAAGCCGCTGTGCCTTCCAACGCTCATGCTGGCCAACATGGATGTCATCATGTACGACGTCTGAAATGCGTCAATTTTGGGATGGCTGAGCCACGCCCTCTGGCCTTTGAGACCGAGAGAGATAGTATCCTGGGGCCAGTTCCTGCTGTGCGATCCATCAGGGTCTACCCAAAGCCCCTCAAAAAAATTTGGGGGGGGGAAGGGGGAGAAAACCCAGAAATGTCTGGAAGTCCGTTGCTGTTTGTTTTTTTTTTAATGGGTTTTACGAATTAAAAGGGCATGGGCGTTTACATTTTTGTGAAACTGTTTGCATGACTGGTGGGAAGCAGGAGGTGTCTGATGGCTCCCAAAGAGCCAGGGCAGGGAGGGGCCCTCGAGCGAACAAGCAGAATCTTGTTAACCACTAGTGCAGGTTTGCGGAGTTTGTTTGAGGAGTTTAAAATCAGGTTGCATGAACCAAGCCACCCTACTTCAAAAGCCGTGCTCATTCCAGGACTGGCGGAGAGGCGTTGTGGAGGCTGGTCCAAGCAGCCCTCCCACCATCAAAAAAAAGGCAGCCTTTCCACCTGGGGAAGAGCTTCTGGGGAGAAAAAAAAAGCCTTCACACCTCCTGGAAGCAGGCCCAGGTGGCGGGCCTTCAGGCACGGGGAGATCACCTCCTGGAAGCAGGCCCAGCTGGCGGGCCTTCAGGCACGGGGAGGGCGAAGCTGCGCCTGCCCCGTCGCATCTCTTGTCCTTCACAAAGTGGGGCCTTTCGGAAGACGAGATGCTGCCTAGCAGTTCTGTTCTGCCTCCTTAGTCAGACAGGACGACTCGCCATGGGCGAGCCTGAAAACCTCAGAAGGAACAGACCTCAAGCTTTTTCCCTGTGGCTCTTGAGCCATCAAAACGCACGGGGGGGGCAGTACGTGAGATTTCGTCGTCTTTTTCCTCCCCCAGTTGTCTAATGCAAGGGTCTCCCCTTCTGCTCTTTTTTTTCCCGTCCGGCCACAGGAGCTGTTCATGGCCCATTCCCAGAAATACGTCCGAGAGACAGAGCTGTCCCGCCGTGTCCGGGACTGGGAGGAGATGATGGGGCCTCAGCTGGAGGACCAAGTGAGGCAGGGGGACATGGACATGGTGGCGGGAGGGTGACGAGTGATTCTTCCAGGGTGTGTGCGTGGGGCAGTCCTTAACTGGGTGTCTTTCTCGCACAGGAAGCACGGACCGCCTTTGACATTCATGACTATGGCGACCGCCTGGCGTCTCGCTTGGCCAGGGTTGGGGAGTGGCGCTCCTTCGCCAGCCTCGTGGCAGGGGAGCCGGCCTTTGAGGTCTGCCGTTACATGCTGGCCTCCCTGCAGCTGGTATGTACTGACTGCATGTTGGCTCTAGGGAGGGAACAAAGGAAGAGAGGATGATGAATTCTCTTTTCCCTGCCCCCCCCCGGGCTTCCCTTCTAAGTTGGGGCGCGTCTGACACAACGTTGGTCTTCCTCCAGGCCAACGACTACACGGTGGAGATCAGGCAGAATCCGGGCCTGGACGAGGCAGTGGACACCATGGCGCTGCGCCTGCTGACTCAAGAGAAGGCCCACGAGCGCTTCCACACCTACACGGCTCCCTCGCTCGCCCAGCAGTGACCCCACCCTCTCCCCCTCTGCCTGCCTGTATATACTGTGTATTTTTTGTACAGCTTTCCTTAGCCCATCCGTTCCCCTGTTTTTCTCTTATTGCTAAGAGGCACTGTCATAAATCGCGACTTTTGCCTCCACTTTACTCCAGTAAAGAGCGCGTGCCGGACTGTGGCTGTTTCTCTTCTCTGAGAAGGTTGCACTCATGCTAAGGAAGGATGCGGGAATCCCTCTCCAGCAGCAGGTAGCCCAGAAAGCACATCAGAGGGCAACGAGGGCAGAGGACGGACATCCATGCGTGCTGGGGCTGGCAGGATATTCTCAGAACGCGAATTGGTAGGGCATGGACCCCAGAGCACAGGGCAGCGCATAGAAGAGGCCCTGCACTTCTGGCGCAGACAAGGAATGGCCCGTCTGCAGTTCTCAAATATAAGCACGTCTGTGAATCTCAGGTTCCATGACCCCTGCCTTGGCAGGATTCTCGGTTCGATAGCCAGACTTCCATCTAAGCACTGAATAGGTCTACTGAGGTTGTTGAGTGGCGTGTGATGCAGCGGATCCCTGAAGCCCAAGATCTGTTCCAGGAGTTTAGCTTGGCGTGATCCTCAGAAAAGGCACACCAGCCGCAACATTCCTCAGAAATAGGGACACTCTGTTGGGGGCTGGTTGTGGGAGAAGAACCCTCTGAGGCTTCCTAGGGCTTGGAAAAAGCTCCTCTGGGCTCTGAGATCTGCACGGGAGGCCTTTCTCTCAGCCCTGCCACCCACAGAGAGGCAGGCTTGGTATAGGGGTGCAAGCGACAGCCTTTTCATGGGCCACTTCCTGCCTATGGAACTCCTTGCCTCAGGATGTTAGACCGGCCATGTCTCTGACATCCTCCTGCTGGCAGGCAAAAAACGTTGAGGTAGGCCTTTGGCAATGAACTATCAAGGATGGTGGAGGGAGTGTTATTGACTTTTAAGCACTTTTTCTATTGCTAATTTCAAATTCTTTTAACTGGGATTTTGAAGGGTCCTTATTTTATTTTAAAATATAAAAGCTGGTTGAGTCATTGTTTTTAACTGAACCTGTATTTGGTTTCACTACACCTTGAGCTGCCTTACTGCCCTGTTTCTTCCAGAAAGGCAAGATTTAAAAAAAGAGCAGATGATTAAATGAATGTAACGACTGCTTCTGAAGAAAGAGCGAAGAGCAATTACTGTTGAGAGAACCATGTGGTGGTTTCCTTCATTAAAAGCCCAGGGGAAATAAGGGTTTTCAAGCAGGGAGATGGCAAAACTATGGAGGTTGCATGGAGAAAAAAACCCTACAACAAATAAACTAATTTAAGGAATTTTGGAATTCACAGACTAAAGCCCACAGAGGTCTGCAGGGCAGGCAGGGTTCAGATACGTGGGAGCTGCAAGCAATTGTGGATGTGGTAGTCTGCCCATCATACTGAAGAGATGGCCTCTCAAAAAGAAAGACTACAAGATCCATAACCCCTTATAGCACCCATGGAGTTTAGACCTGCCTAATGGCTGCCTGTACCCTTCGTGCACGTCAGGAGAGGAAGCTGAACACGTTCCATATGTGTCGACTCTGACACATTTTTGGTATCACCTGGCAGAACAACGTTTCAAATAGAGTAGAATGAGCTGGAATTTTCAGCATGCATACATTACTGAAATAGCAATGTCTACGTTGGCTCAGGCATGTTGTGAGAATGGCTGACGGTCAGATTCCAAAAGATCTCCTGTATGGAGAATGAGTGCAGGGAAATCGCCCCAGAGGGAGACCACAGCTGCAGTACAAGGAGCTCTGCAAGCAGGACCTGAAGGCCTTAGGAATGGACCTCAACAGGTGGGAAACCTTGATGTCTGAGCGTTCAGCGTGGAGGCAGGTGGTGCCTCACGGCCTCTCCTAATTTGAAGAGACCCTTGTCCAGCAGCCTGAGGCAAAGAGGCAGTCACAAAAGCAGCAAAACCAGGAGCTGGACAGGGGACAGATGGTGTTTGTCTTCAGTGTGGAAGAAGGGATGGTCGCTTTCGAATTGGCCTTCTCAGCCACACTAGACGCTGTTCCAAGTCCTCTATTCAGAGCACGTTACTCTAGTCTCGAGACGGAAGGAGGCCTACAATGGCTGCCAGAGCCTGAATTCATTCACTCAAAATCTTGAAAGCCACTGACAGGGCTTTGTTTTCTCGATTATAGCTCCCACAAGTCTAGTTAGGGGAATTCCTAAAGCAACTCTTCCCAACCTTGGGTCCTCAGCTGTTCTTGACACTACAACTCCCAGAAATCCTGGCCAGCCCAGCATGTGATGAAGGCTTCTGGGTGTTGGAGTCCAAGAACAGCCGGGGACCCCCAGTTGGGAACCAGGGTCCTAAACAATTCCAGGGGATGAAACCCATAAATCCCCAAAGTCTCCTGTCCATAAACTATCTCACAGGGCAGCTTGCTCCCTGCGGCACCTTCCAGGTCCTGCTGGTGAGTTCACACAGATGGCGGTGACGCTCAAGAGGCCCAGACATCATCCGCCACAAACAAAATGTGCTTTTGAGAATGATCTGCAGCGTCAATGCCCTACTGCAGACAAACCAATGGGAGGGGTGGCTCCCGGGTTTTGCAGTCTTCAGACGAGCGCTGCTTGGGAGGGGTGGCGGTCTGCTCTTTGCACTCGTGAACGCCAGCCCGATCCCTCTCACAAGTGGCCCCAAATCCAAAAGGAACTGTTCTTAAATGAATTTACATCTTACTTCGTTAAGGGACCAGCAAACCTGCCTCAGTGAAGAACCTCTTTCTGTTTGAATGGCAACTGAGTGACCTGAAGCTGCAAATTCTCATTCCGCAAGCTCATTTTCTGTGCAGAAGTGTAAACCTGTGTTTGGGGGCTTTTTTTTCTACCAAGGGTGAGAATTAGGAACAGAAGGTCAGCCGACATCCAGTAACGGTACACCTTTAGGGCCTCCACAAAACGTGGCAACATTGGCAGGGACCGGTCACAACCCTCTGGCGTAGCCATGCAAATGAGTCGTACTGGAGGCAAAATTGCCCAAGTTAAGGAATTGCAAAAGGTGAAGGGGTCCCCTTGATATTGAGTGCAGTCGTGCCCGACTCTAGGGCGCGGTGTTCATCCCTGTCTCCAAGCCACAGAGCCAGCATTTGTTTGTAGACTGTTTCCGTGCTCACGTGGACAGCGCAAATAGACACAGAATGCCGTGACCTTCCCACTGAGGTGGTTCCTATTTATCGACTCGTATTTTTACATGCTTTCGAACGGCTAGGTTGGCAGGACCTGGGACATGCGATGGGAGCTCCCTCCGTCAGGTGGATTCGATTTTACGATGGCGGGTCTTCTGACCTTGGAGCCCAGAGGCTTCTGCGGTTTAACCCACAGCGCCACCACATCCCTCTAAGGAATCACAATAGATACTACCAAATGCACTCCATATGATTCAGTACGCAACTGTCCCAATGCCAACAGTGATTTCTTAACCCGGAGCAATTGGTCTCCAAACCTTCCACCATCTGTGCTGCACCAGTGCAACTAGGTAAGGACATTTGGGGCAAAAACGATGGACAGAATCCTGCTGGAGTCGTCATGCCAGTGTAAACCAGATTCAGGAGCCAGAAACTGCCACCAGATCTCTGCCAACCGGACTGGGACTGGCAGTGGATTTTAACTACAGTGGTGCCTCGCTTAACGATGTTAATTGGTTCCAAAAAACCCTTCGCTATGGGAAACATCGTTAAGTGAAAACCATTTCCCATAGGAATGGATTGAAAACCGGTTAATCTGTTCCAATGGGAATGGATTAACGTCCTTAAGCGAAAACCCCCATAGGAAACATCACTAAGTGAAACAATGTTTCCCCAATGGAAAGCCATTCAAAAGCAAAGTGCATTCAAAGTGCTTTTGAATGGCTTTCCGATGTCCGTGTTTGCTCATTTTTAAGTGTCTTACAATGTTTGGAACATGTTTTAAATGGTTGGAATAGTTAATCCACCTTGTGAAACCTATGCACACTTAGTTTGGCTTTCTTCTGAGTCCTCGTTAATTTTTGGTAATTTTTTGTTTTTTTCCCTCATTGAAATCCAATGGACGGACATCGTTAAGCAAACACAGACATCGTTAAGTGAAATTCCCCCCAAAAAAAGTGCAAGATGCAAAAACCAAACCGAAAAATACACATTCTTTTTCTTCTTAAAAAAAAAAACTTAAAAGGAAAATAGACATAGTGCACATCATACCGATTCATCTTACTGAAGCACATAACCTCCGGAACCCACACACACACACATACACACAAAAAAGCCCCTCAGTATAAAGTATGCGCTCCCTCAAAAGAGCAGGACCCAAAAGGAGTGAGAGGGTGCAAGGACCCCATAGATCAGTGGGAACCAGGCGCATCTCAGCTGAAGATGCTCCGGTAGGTCTCCATGTGCTTCTTAACGCTCTGCGCCATCTTTGCGTCTGACTTGCTGCGCTGGTAAAAGTCCATGAGGAGTCCGTCCGGGTTGATCAGGTAGATGATCACCGTGTGGTCGACAATGTAGTCGTCGTCCTGGTCTCTGGGCCCGGCGCTGTAGTAGACCCGGAAGGCGCGCCCGGCCTCCCGCACCTGGTCCGGGCTGCCAGTCAGCCCCAGTAGCCGCGGGTGGAACTCCTTCACGTATTTGGCCACCGCCGCCACGTCGTCACGCTCGGGGTCCACCGTGATGAAGACGGGCTGGACCCGAGGCAGGCCGGGCTCTCGGTCCAGGAGATCCACCACGTTCACCATCTTCTCCACCTCCTCGGGGCAGATGTCCGGGCAGTGGGTGAAGCCGAAATAGAGCAGCACCCACTGGCCCTTCAGGTCGGCCTTCGTGCAGGGCCGCCCCGTGTGGTCCACCAGCTGGAAGTTCCCCTGGCCGAGGGCCAGCTTCCGCAGGTCCTCGATCCGCCTCAGCTTCTTCTGGTGCTCCTTCTCGGCCCGGAGGTACAGCCAAAAGGCCAGGATCCCACCCCCGAGGACGGCCGTGATGAGGAGGCGTGTCTTCAGTGGGATCTTTGGCGCGGGACCAGGATTTTGCACGTTTCCCTGCGAGTAAGGCCGCCGGCTAGGCGGATGGTCCCTCATTCCACCAGGACACGAAGCTCTTCTCGCTCCAAGAAGGACCCTCTCGGCTGCTGGGCCGATGAAGCCGCAAACGGTCCCTTCGTGGGGAGCTGGTCGGGAGATTGTTTGACCGGCCAAAGAGGCCAAAGGGTTGCAGCTGGCAGGCCGGACGTGGTGCCTGACATGCTCGCCAAGAAACGGAGACCTCGCCCAGAGAGCAGCGCGAGGAACCACATGCCGTGGGCTCCGGGCGCCAAAGGACAGAAGCATGGCAGAAAGAGCTGGAAAACAGGAAACAACACCATTGTTGACTCCAGGCATCGCCCAAATGCTCAAACATTCCCAGCAAAATTAAAAGGGGGGGATGCTATAAAATACAGTAGGATCCCCTTAGCCATGGGATTCAATTATCCACAGCCTGAAAATATCAAAAGAAGAATCCCTAAAATATACATGTCCATGATGTGATTACCAGAACTGGTCACTAGAGGGAACTAGAGGCTAGCATTCACTACCCGAATCGGGTTCACCCTAATCCACGTTTTTCAGCATCCGCTGGAAGGGCTTGGAAGGGATCACGCACGGATACAGGGATCCTACTGTATGCCTTCCTGGCCAGAGAGAGAGAGAGAGCAAGCTGCAGCTCTCCAGATGCCACTGGGCATTGCTCCTCATTTTCCCCACTGCGACCTCGGATGGAAGCTGCGCTCCCCGTACAGAGACCAGTCTTGATTCAGGAGGCTTCCCAAGAGAGTAATGGGCAGGCTTCCATCTCACACCGGGCTCTTTCTCCTAGCTAGGTATCAACCCGAATCTGAGAAGAAACATTTTCTCAACACAAACAAAACTGGGCACAGGACTTCAGGCAAGAACAACAGAGCTAACGAGAATTGCTGTTCGGGACAGGAAAGCGGAAACGGAGCGTCTCAAGTGCGCTCGTGTTCGTCTCCCTCAACTTGAAGACGCCAGACTTGGGGAGGTTCGTTGAGCCAACTGGGGTCCCTGGCCTCCTCAGCTCGCACGTCCTCCGGGAGATGCTTTCCGAGGCATGGAGAACGAGCGTTGCTCTCGGGAAACCCCTCGGCCCTTTCTCCTGCAGCGTGCCTCTGTGTGACTTGGAAGCTTTTGCACACCCATGGCGCCAGCGAGTCTCCTCGCAAACCAGGGCTCTGCAGATGTTCTTCCACGTAGGACCTTGTTGGGGGGGGGGAAGTGGTGCAGGGCAGTGGTGCCTAGTGGCTCTGAGGCCGGGAGGGGGAGGGGGTACCAGGAAAGACCCAAGGATGCCCTTCCTGGCCAGTTCAGTTAAATGGCTCTGCCAC